TAGCATTGTATCACTGAAGCCATTATTTTGTTAATTACATCAGTAATAGCCATCAGCTTTGCATTTTTTAGGTCCTTCTAAAATGGAAATGCATGAGACAGCTGGTACATGTGAGAAGCTTGTTAAAATGGTAGCTGGGCACAACAAAAAGCTGGGGACGACATTGGCCCTGATGGTGAGTGGGCAGAAGAGCCACCCTCAGCTTCCTTAGGGAACTATAGTTGGATACCAGAGTTATGTTGGTCCTGAGGTTGTGAGGAGGTGGCCTGAGAGCATGAGAACTGCAGAGAACAAGTCCCCAGGAAGAGGTAGCACTGCTAAGCAGTGGAGCCCAAGACTCCTGCAAGCCACAGCAGTCCAGGGCAAAACCCATGGCATGAAAGCTACTGAATGCTGACCTGGGACAACCGGGAGCACATGTCTAGACTGAGGACTCCATTCAGAGAGTGAAGCTGACATCCTGGGACAGGCACAGGCCTGGAACATCTCACTGAACTGCCATGAGCATGGGCATGCTGCAAGGGGAGCATGGCCTGGGAGGAGGTGGCAGTGTCTCTTTGGCACCCTCATGTCTGTAGGCAGAGGACTGGATCCAAAGTAATTCCTAAGAACTGCACTGAGGAGTATAGCTGGAGCTTGATGGCTATTAGTTTAGCTTTCCCAGGCTAAGGCTTCCTTTTGTTTCCTGCCCTTCCCTCTAATAAAGTTCTGTTAAGGCTTGCTGCTGTGACCAGGAAAACATTGCTGAAATCAGAGCATACAAACAGAGCATTTAACTTCTCATGTTTCTGAATGGGAGTTAGAGTCTGGGCTGCTACAGTTTACAGGAGGCATAGTTTGAAAGTGGTCCCAGCGTAGCAGCACATGTCAGAAGAATTACAGAGGTAAGCAGGTGAGACCAAAGAAATGGGATGAAGGGCAGCAGAGGCTCAAAGTGGTGATGGATGCTCCCAGGATCAGGCAGGTGGTCAACCACATATTGTGGGCTTTGCTTTCTATGCTCTATAAAAACCAATAAAAAACACTAGAGACCGGTGTTGTGCCTCTTCACAGACATGATCCACCCGTGGCTTTCTCTAAAAATGTTATGCCATCTCACATAGACAGAATTTCAGTATTTAGAGCAATAGAATGAATCACAGAATGATCTGGGTTGGAGGGGACCTCAGAGCCCACTCAGTCTCAACTGGCTGCCAAGGGCTGGTTGTCACCCAGCAAAGCAGGATGCCCAGAGCCCCATCCAACCTGGCTTTGAATGCCTCAAGGGGGTATGAGGTACTATACAGCATGGAAATCAACACTGGCGTAAATAAGAGTAGTATTCTGATTGTTTCTTTGTAATTATCTTAAATAAGACCAATATAACACTTTCTAGGGATCCATTTTTTCTGCCTGTCTTTTTAAATTCATAACGTTTTTGAAATGCAAATTTTAATCCAGGAAACGCTTTTATTTCTTCAAGGACATTTAACTTACTGTAACCCATGGGAACACGGTAGGGAGGGAAGGAGAATCCAATTACATGTTGCTTGTAGAACTGAAAGGATAAAAACTGCAAACTGACCCAGGTCAGGAATGAGAGATGGCCAACCTGCGGGTCTCTGTACACTTTGCAAGTATAATTGCATCCTCTGTTTGTAGTGCTGCTGCTCAGCATTACACCCACTTTTGTGTGACTGAAATTTTCTAAAATGTGTACGTTCTGCATAGCAAAGGGGGAATCACAGCCCTGGTGTTGCTTTGCTTAAACCAGAAGCTTTGCACGGATACCCTGCAAATGGCAACGCTGCTCTGCCAAAGCAAGCTTGCCAAGCCTGGGAGTGCCAGCTTTTCTGACAGCCGAGTAAGTTTTGCCCTTTCATCCCACCTTGGCTGCGTGTTGTAAAAATGCAGATGCTTAGGAAATTGCCTCCAGGTGTTGAGTGATCTGAGTTTCACCAAAAAAAATAAAGCTTAATCTAAGATAGATGACCTTGTTTTCAGCAGAGGATCTTTCTGGTTGTGGAAGAGGACTGGAAAGGGTCTTTTCTGCGTTGCCTTGCTGCAGCTGTAGTGTTTTCCTTCTGGATTCTGACAATCCCCAAGTCAAATGCACGAGGGCACAAGGCTGGTTTGGGTGTTTTGAGGAGATATGTAAATTAACATAAAACTCCCCAGCCCCAGCACTTTTTGCTAACTTAGTCCTGACACCGTGGTGCTCAGTGTGGAGGAAAATATCTCTTTTTGAGGAATGCAGAGTTCGTAAAGCTATTTGGTGTCTCCCCACAGCAAACAGCAACAGAGGCTTGCCCTTTGGCTCTCTGTTTTCTTTGGACGTCTTGTGAAGCAAAAGCACTTAGCTTTTCTGTCTCGATTTCTTCAACTAGAAAAAGAAAAAAAAAAAAGGACAATATTATTTAGTTTTCTCCTGGGAGTGTTGTGCTGGTTGATTTGTTAATGGTGATGAAGTCTGGGTCTTTATGTAGAGGCTTGCTCTAATGCATGGGTGTCCAATCTTTTGGCTTGTCTGGGAGACACTGAGTGAAGTGAATTTTGTATTTGGGCCAAATAAAAAATATAGTTAATGTCTGTAAGTATCAAAACTTCTTTATGTATATATATCTATATAATTAAAACATTAAAAAAGAGGGCAGCAAAAACATGAAACTGGTGGGGTATTTCACCTTGTTTTTGTGAAACCAATGCAGCAATGCGTGGTTTGATGGAAGCGGTTGCATTTCTCAGTGAGTTCCTAAGGTGTTGGTCAGAGATTTTTGATCTAGTTTTACCCTTCCTGTACTTCATCCTTGAAAGCAGTTGTTCAGAAGTGCCAAAAAGCACAAATAAGGCGTGATTGTGAAGCAAGGGATATTTTGGTCTCATAAAAAGCTGGTTAACAGACATGGTCAGATTTTTCTTGGAGTTGAATGTCTGATTGCAACTCAGTGTATTCCATTGAAAATCCACATGTAATGTATTTGTATTTGCTATAGATCTGGATTGACTGAAGATGGAGTTGCAAATACACACAAAAAAAATATCATCATTTTTTTGCAGTCTTGAAACTTATTCTCAAATTCTTTTAAAAATGAAAAGCACGGCTGCATATTTTTCACTGTTCACAGGACTGTGTTTAGTCAGTATCTCACAATGCATGCAATTATTAGCCATCACTTCACTGTGACATAATTTAAGTTAAGTTTCACTTTAAGCACTGTTACAGTTTGGAATACAGCATAGATAAGCTGCTTTTCACCTTGAAGATGCATGTTTAGCTCATTTAAGTGAGCAGTCAAACCCACGAAAAATACGAAACCTATGAGCTGTTGCAAAACTAATTAAAAACACATTGCAAATTATTTTACGCTTCTTGTGATCTTTTTGAGACATTGAAAATGACAAAATTTGCCAACACTACATGAGTATTCTGGATATTTCTTTTCACTGAATGTATTAACGAATTAAATAATTCCATGAAACAGCTCCCATCTCTTTTCGGACCATGCAATACTTACTGTTGTCCCAGGTTCAGTAGTGCTGGAAACCAGCACATTGTTGATGCAGTTTCACTGTAGGTTTAGAGAATGATAAAACTGTAGTTAGGCTATATGGTTGTTTTTTTTTCCCCACTATGAAGTGCCCAAGGATTAATATCTGTTTAATATTCAAGAGGCAAGAAATGCTTCCAGCACTTGAAAACAGCAAAGATCATCCTTTTGGGATACCTGAGATGAGATGGTAAACCTTCCAACACGCTTCTTGCACTCTTCCTTCTCCTGTTACAGCAGACATTGAGGGTAGCAGTTGGGTCCCTGTACGTCACCACCATCGGGAACAAAACACATTAACTCGATGGTGCTAATGAGCAGCGAGCGAGCACTGGAAGAGGAATGTTGACATTTGAAAGATCTCAGTTATGAGGTTCCACATTGCCTAATTGTGAGGGTTGTGTGGGAAGCACTGCTCCAGTGTATCTGTCTAGTATGGACATGACCGGCAGGAATACACTACCCCTGTGGAATGTCAGTTACTGGAGGAAACAATTATCCTTTTTGAATATTCAAAATATGTCAGAACATTCTTCCCTTTTCCCTTTTAGGGCTCATCAAAGCTGTGAGTGTGTCAACATCATTCCACCTACTGGGAGGTGCTCTGGAATATCTGATTCACAGGCATTTCACTTGCTTGGCACTGAGCCTTGTGCAGCCAATGCTGTCTTGAGCTTTTACAAGTAATTCAGGCAAAAATGGAGTTTGCCAACAAAGGCGTGAGCATCCAGACCTGGCAATGGAAAAAAAGGAGCTGGGAAGTGGGAAGGGAAGAGGTGGGATGGGCAGACAGGAGCGGTGTGCAGGGAGCTGGGGGCACCAAGCTTGCTGCTCCCACCAAGACACAAGCAGCGATTGCTGCTGTTGCTTTCAGAAGGGACTACACAAACCCACATGTGATAGGTGCACCCTACCACCCCAACCCTTCCTCCCCCAGACCTCTGGCATAATCTAAGCAGGTAACATGGCCAGGGTTGCTTTACTGCCTTTAGCAACCTGCCAGGCATGGCACAGCATTCAGTGCCAGTGCTCCGCTGACCGCGAGAGGAGAAATGAAGCATGTAGGCTGGTTTATCATATCCAAAGGCTGAAAGGGTACTTTACTTCTAAGACCAAAATAATGCAAGGATCTGTTTCTTGGGCCTTGAGGCCTTCTGGCACTGTCTAGTTGGCAAATATATAACATTTCCTTCCTCTCCAAAACAGGGTGCCATATCCAAATTGCTCGTAGTCCTGGACTATGCTACTTCCCGAACTGTGTGTCTGGGAGACGGCTAGGTGGCCTAGAACAACAACATGTGGGGGTCTTCTTTCTGAATTTAACAGTGCAGGTAATCATGTTCTGGGCCTGGGTTCTGGCACTAATTTACCAGCAGAAGTATAGCCTGTGAGTAGTAACAAAAGGATCACCCAGTCAACTTGTCTGATTGCATATCATGGGTTATTATGTCTCACCTTGCTTCTCTTTCATAGGGGTTTGCCTAGAGCATCTCTACTAGGAAGACATCCAATCTTGATCTGAAAACATCAAGAGACAGAGAATCCAACTCTTCTTTTGGTAAGTAGTTCCCAGGATTAATTGCTCTTACTATTAATAATGCATGCCTGGGTTTCTTTGTATGAATTTGTTTGGCTTTGGCTTCTAGCTGTTGATTCCTGCTGTGCTTTCTCCACTAGATGAAGGAGATCTTTTGCATATGCTATTATCTTGTTGTGGTGGTACTTGTACACTTTAATCAAGTCACGTCTCCATCTTCTTGATAAGATGAGTGGAGAGATCCCTTCCAGGCTTTCACTAGAGAGAGGCATTTTCTCTCATCCTCTCTCCTGACTTATCTCCAGCTTTTCCCACTTTAAACACAGGCACCAGAACTTTTTACACTATGCCAGTATTAGGCTTACTAGAGCAGCGGAGAGAGATAAGATCAGCTCCCCACTCCTATTCACTGCTTCCTTGTTTATACATCCATGAATCACATTATCTCCTTTTGCTTTACACTAAGAGCTCATGTTGCTGCTCTTAAATCCAGTCTGCAGTCCTTGATTTCCAGGGCTGCCCGCTAGCTAGATAGTGCACTCTGTTCCCTCTTCCTTCAGGGCTGCCTACACTAAGGCTAATCTGAAAAACCAGGTTTTCTGCACTGCCTGTTTTGTAAGTGTACCACGAGCGTGTTGTGGAGTTGAAAGCCTGAGCTGTTCAGGTGCGACTCTTGGGCATGGAACGAAAAATAAAAGCTGCTTCTGAGGAATGAATGACAAAACCGTCCCTAGCACTGTTAGGAGTGAGATCAACATATGGCATTTGTTCCCCACTGTGAACTAAATTTTCCAGATCTGCAAAAGGTAAAATCCACACTGCTCTAATACTTTTCCCATACATAAAATTCCCAGAGAGCTGGTGGATGCCCCATCCCTGGGGACACTGAAGGTCAGGCTGGATGGGGCTCTGAGCACTGATGGAGCTGTAGGTGTCCCTGTTCATTGCCAGGGAGGGGGACCAGATGGTCTACAAGAGTCCCTTCCAACTGAAACAATTCTATGATCTTGTATCTGCTGTAACCAATGAACATGTTGCCTCCTTCCCACTGCTACTGACAGCGTTTTCTCATCTTATAAAAAAAAAAAAAAAAAGAATAAATCAAGTCTAACCTGTCTTTCCAGCAGAGATTTTATGCTCATTAAAATCTGAGAACTATGGCAAGGATTTCAGCTTGATAGGCAGAAAGTATCTCATTCATCCCAAAGGTAAGTGTAGTCTACATGTCTAAGCCAGCATTATGATTTTTTTTTTTTTTTAAGCAAAATCACAGCTACTCTTTGAAGGACTGTCATTGTGCAATCATCAAGGCATTCTTCATGCTGGCAAGAAAAGACACAAAGCAAACTGATCTGACACATTTTTAAAAGGTTTTCTTTGTTTTAAGAGATGTAGATTGAAAGAACAGACCTGAAACATTTATGTGAGTGATCCTTACATCTTTGCTCTTGTTGATTTTGATGAGCTTGTGCTCAGGAAAAGATTTTAGGATTTGTCATGTGCTGATATTTTGTGTCAGTGATTCTTTCCATGTAAATAGGAGGTTGCATTGATGCCGTAACACTGAGAAATCAGTGTTGTGGGCTTTTTAACAGGGGACAGGCATCTAAATGTCTACAGGCGTTTGTGGCTAGCCAAGAATTACAGTGTGAAACCACCTGTAATACATATAGATGCATGAAAGAGGAAAGTACATTGAGTTCACATTGAAGTCGATGTGAAGCTGCTGATTACTCTGCACAACACGCTTTATATTACAGCCCAAGAGCTCACAAACTCTGCCATTAAACAGGGCTTGGGCATTCTGAGAAATGCTAACAATGATGTCTGAAACGACTTTGAGAAACTGTGATCAATGATGATGTAGCTGTCAGATGTTTACCCCAAATCATATGGTTATTATTCCCAAGGAGTGGGGTGGACACCCCACAGCTCTCAGGGGGAGGGATGGCTTACCCAGACATGGGCTCTTGGTGAGGGCTCAGCACAACGTGAGGGTGCTCGTGGGAACCCGTACCTCTGCAATATGCATTTTGCCGTGGTTTATTTGTGCTGTCCCCGTAACACACCCATTGCTGTGGGATGTGGATGCCTTTCAGTGATGTACTGAACCAATAAGCTACCTGTCATGCGTGTTTCTGACTCAGTTTTGCAGTCGAAAAGGAAAAGTCATCCCTCACTGATGGCACGATGCCTTGTGGACGCTCTGCACTCACTGTAAGTTTAAAACAACCAGGTAATGTCAATTCTGGTTTAAACAAACATAATTAAACAGCATGAACGTGAAAATCTCTGTTAATAATAATCTGGCCACAAGGTATACCATAAGCAAAGCGTGGATTTCTTCTGTCAGTGCAGTCGTAGCTGCCCCGGTGGCTGGGTGGCAGTAAGGTGTGTTGGTCGTGGGAAACCTCACCTGAGGTGTTCCCAGGCAGAGGAGTGAAATGAGGCCACGCTGCCTGGAGATCTGTTGGGACACTGGTCATAAACCTCACTCTGCCAGATGTTACCTTCTAAAGTGTTGGTGTCTGCTCAGGGCTTGCAAAACAGTTGGAAAACTTAGTCATGTTCTTCAGTTGCTGAAAAATGTGGTATAGTTCCTCTACTGAAGGAGAACCAAATAGTTACCAGCAAAATATCTGCCACACTCAGACACAGCTGGGGAGCTGGAGTGGGTTTTCTGCAAATGGAGAGACTAGAAAAAAAGTGGCCAGCAGAGGTCAGATGTGGTTTGAACTCTCTGAGAGCAGAAGTTATCCAGTGATATTCATAAGACTTTGTACGGTCTATTAGCATTTCGGATGGAGTGTTGCTTGGTGTTTGTCTGCAGAGCAGGGCTGCCTGCCCTTGAGCCATTTCACTTTACTGACAGCTGTGATTGTATTTCCACCATTATGGTATTTGCCATGTTTAAGTACGTTTTTTAATGTTAAATCTCATATTTTGGTTCAGAGAGGACAGTTAGGCTGTGTGGAAAGTCATGAATAATAAACAACTTATAGAAGATCCCCTCTCTTACTTTCTCATTTTTTCTTTCATTCTCTTTCTTTTTTTCCTTCTTTCCTTCTGTGCTGTGAACTCGGGTACACTGGATGACAGCTACACCCACAGATTCACCCTCCCTAAAACCATTCACAGTTAGACTTGCCACTGCATGTTGCTCTCCTTTCCAAAGCTGAACAAATTGCACAGAAAGAACTGAAAAACTTATGCTTCCTTTCAAGAGTTTTCCAGCTGTCCCTGTGGCTGTGCCTGAGTTATTCTCAACTTAGGCATTCTGCAGACAGGAAGAACAGCACACATTGCACAGAGCTGGGAAGCTGAGGTGGGCTCACTGCAGGTGATAAATGATGCCATGAGTGTCCTAACAGGAAAGATATTTGTTCGATCTGGTCTTCCCCACTAAACCATGTTTGGTTTGTGTTCCACAGTTTCCTAATGGACCAACATAGATGACCTAAAGAACTAGAGGAATTAAGAGGAATTAATTTGGATTATTAGACCTGCTAGGACATGTTTTTCTGCTACAGGTTTCAAAGCAGCAGGGAAAGAATATGCAGAATTGTATGTCTCAGAAAGTAAGGTTCAGCATGACTAGGAACCTCATCCCTAGAAATTATGGAGCCCCAGGAAGGTCAAGGGGAGAGAGAAAGAGAAAGGCAAGATCAGTTAGTTCCCAGTGGAGTCATTAGCAGCTCTTGTTGTAGGGAGCTCAAAGAGGAAAAGCAGGTCATTCCCGCTTGCAAATGAATTGTTATTCCTCTGAAAATGTTGTATATACACATGTAATAGAGTACTGTCCACAGGCCTCAAACTATGTTGGGAGTACTTAGTGAAAGTAAATGAATGAGAGACCAAACAGACAGGGAGGTGGGAGCTATGGGAGGAACAGTCAAAGGCAAAGGAGCATGCAGTGTGGTCAGCCAGGACTTCTCCTCTCTTCTGTACATCTGGCTGCTCTTCTGAAGGCAGGGCCTGAAGCACACATGAGGTCCAATGGACCTGGTTAGTAAAAAACAACTCCTGGTTGCATGTAAAGGTCTGAAAATCATATTTCTAATATGTGCTCAGATTGCTGACTTTACTAATCCAGCATTTTAAAGATCTGAATATTTCAATAGGGGCTATAATTGTGTCTTGTGCCTACACTAGCAAAGGCTATAGTCTCAACTAAACTGATTGCAAATCTTTCCAGTGTGATACTAGATGTGTTATCTATTATCCAGACCCCTTTGTAGTGTACCTCCCAAGATAGTTCTGGCTCTTTAACAAGACCAGAAGAACAATTTCCTTTGGTAGTTAAATACTGCTAAGGTATCTTCAAACTGGGAATATTTTCTTGAAAATAATCCTACTGGAATGAGAATTCTTCTTCTTTAGGGACTAAAAAAAAATGTTCTAGGAAAGGAAATCAAGTCGTATGTGGACAGAAGAGCCATAAATGGCATTCAACTAAAGGAATTTTTTCAAGAAGTCCACAGAAATTCTTTCCCCCTTCTCTGCATTTGTTAATTTGTTAATAGGGTAGATTTCAAGATATATTTTTTTTCAAACCTCTCATTACCTTATGCCATCTCATTCAAAACACTTCTTCTCAATTCATAAAGAAAACAAGCTGACCAGTAAATATTGCTCTTTCTACGAAGCTTGCAATTGTGGGCCTTGCTTCTGTCATCATAAAACAAACAAATACACTTGGGCACTGAAGATACCTTAGCATATTTTCTGTCAGAAGAGAGACAATATTGCAGGGATGCAAAGTAATTTCAACTTTCTAGAATTCCTTTGCAGGAATATGAGAATAATAAAAAGAATTCTCTCCCACTCCTTGCATGGTTTAGGGTTGCTGCACACTGTTTGAACAGCTGCACTTGCAGCCACCTTCAGGGATGGGACAAGTCAGCAGAGCAGGAAGCAATCCAAGTATAGATCATTCAAAAGTGATGGAAAGGATGAGCTATTGGTTTTCCTGACTGATAAATCCTTGTTTCTGTCTGGGATATTGAACTTGCTGTCACGACTGAGGAGTTTCAGTAACTTATCACACATTTATCAGCACATTTGTCATATAGCAAAAAACCTCCTTCCTATCCAGGTTTAAATTTCCTAACATCCAAATATCTGCCTTTAAGCTCTGAGTAGGCATGTCTCATGGAGCAAACTCACTGCTCTGTGGCTTGGATGACTTGCTAGTTACTGACTCCCTTCAGGTTCCTAACTGGAGAGTTTCTATTTCAGCAACATTTGTGTGAATCCATGTCTGCACAAATAGTGTCACAGAATGATAGAATAGAATCATATGAGTTGGAAAAGACTACTTAGAGCATCTAGTCCAACCATCAACCCATCCCCACCATGCCCACAGAACCATGTGACATAACTTCTTGCACACAGCAAGTGAGTATTCTCCCCCTTGTTATTCAGTAAATGCATGACATACAGCCTTGGAGGACTTTTATAGGATAAAAACTGTATATTTGTAATTTTCCCACATATTTAGCAATCTTAAAGGCGTAATGTTCAAAGTCACTATTTATTGCCTCAAGCGATCCAAGAAAGCAGGAATTCTTCCACAAGAGGGAAACTGTTTCAGTCTACCATCATGTTGCTGCAAGACTGAAGTCAGGGTAATTCCCCACACAGCAAGCATCCCCACATCAAGTACTCTTGCAGAGGGAACTCCAAAACACTACTTATCTGCTGCAGGGAACCTTACTGATTGTGAACATCTCTATGGAGCTGTGTTTTAATTAAATCTGTGACTGGCATATGATAGCAATTTTTGGCATGTTGGGTCTGCTGTGGTGCTGCCCATGTTGCTGGTACTCCCACAGATGGACATTTCCCTGCCCACTGTGATGTGTCTCAGTGCACTTACCAGCTTTCAACTTGCTTGTCTCACTGGGACTCCAGGTTCAGTCAGTTTCATCTAAATCTCTAAGTTGGTTTTGGGCTCTCTCTGTTATCTGTGGTAGCTAAAAGAGGGGAGATTTAGACTGTATATGAGGAAAAATTTCTTTACAATAAGAGTAGTGAGGCACTGGCACAGGTTGCCCAGAGGTGGTAGGTACCCATCCCTGGAGACAATCAAGGTCAGGCTGGATGGGGCTCTGAGCACCGGATGGAGCTGTAGGTGTCCCTGTTCATTGCTGAGGGGTTGGACTAGATGACCTTGAGAGCTGCCTTCCAACTCAAATGATTCTATGATTCTAAAGGTGAATGTTAAAGTTAGATAAGAAGAAAAGTTTATTGCCCAGAAAAGCAGCTGAGATTTCGGTAGTAAATGTTACATATCTGAATTTAGGCAGAATGAGAGCTATCTCTGTCTTCTTGGAAGCAGAGGCACAGCTCTCGGGGAGCACATACGGATCACTTAAATACTCTGTGAGCTCTCCAGGGAAGGTAGTGAGTTCGTGGAGCCACACAGATATCTACCTACAGGAGCACATTCAGCTCACCTATTGAAGGCCAGCAGATAGAACAGTCCTAGATTGGAGCAGTCATACTGGTTCTTCCACTCTGCTTTTCCCATTCCGCTCCAAGAGGCAACCACAGACCTTCCCAGTTCCCCCAGTTCACATCTGAAAAGCTAGTTGCACCAGTCAGTAGACTAGACGCCTTTCTGTCAATGCTTGTTTTAAAACCACAGAGGTTCATCAATTCTCTGTAGCTGGTCCTGTGCCATTACATTTGCCTTCCTCCTAGAAATCTAGCTCAAAATAGAGGCTAAAAAATGGCAAAGCACCACCTCCCCTCCCCCCCAGTACTTACATTTATAGAGAGAGTGATGGTATTGGAAGTTTGTAGACTCCAAGATGACCTCCAGCAGCTGAGGGACCAGAGGGAGCTGCACAGACCCCCAGGAGAAAGGTGAGCTGGAGGGACTGACATCACATCACTGCCTTTGGTATCTTTTCAGGGCAAAACAGGCTACTGAATCCTGGTTTTAATGCAGTCACCTAAAAACCTGGAGACACATTTTTTCTTTAACACGTTGGTCAGATATAAATTGCATTTCCCATATATATAGTGAACATTCTTTCGGTTTAAAGAAACTGAGAATGTATAGCCTGCACAGGAAGATGTGGGGAGAAAGCTTTATCCCAAAGCACTGTCTGAGGGTCACCTAAAAAAGCAAAAAGTTCTAGTTCCAAGAAAAGCATTAGAATAACAATACAGCTGTGCAGTCTGTTTTACTGCATATTTCACTTATATTCAAAATCTGTGCCAACCTAACAAGTCTTCAAAGACTTCAAAGCCATCTGCGGTGTGCTACGTGAAGTACTGGCAGCATAGATAGTATGGATATTTAGCTGCTGGCACCATCATTTGGATATGGGATCTTAAGTAAATCAAAGTTCTAAATCAAAATCCTTGGGTCAACCTAAGTTGTATTCCAAAGATGTCTTAAAATCTGAATTTGGATTCTGATCTGAAGTATACCACTATGCTCCCGTTGTAAATGCCACATGCACCGAGGAGTGTGTCATGATTTAAACTGCAATCCGAAAGGAAAGCAGAAGTGTTTTTCAAATGGCTGACATAGATAAACACACACTTTCCATGTAGAGGTAAATCCTTTTATCCTATTTCACAATGTTATAATTATGTAACAACTAAAAGGCTATTTTGCATCATAAAAGAGGGCTAAAAAGGCAAAACTAACCAGAGCTGACCATAGCTGAAAAACAGGAAAGCCACTGGGAAAAGAGAAAAAAGGAATTCTAGCTGTTTTACATAACAGATGGCAGCATAACAGAAAGCAGCTGATGTTGATAGCCTAAGGGAATTTTCCAGTGTCAGAAGAAAAATAAAATTTAGGATATACAGAACCCCCCATTAAATGAGTTTCATAAAAAGAGTGTTTTATTTACATATGCATGTATGGACATAGATATATAGCTGCACGTGAACTTTTGCACAGTTGTATGGATATCCATGTTTGGAAGGAAAAGGGGCTAAGAAAAATGACACAGTGATGCTTTTCTTACCTGCTACACAGCATTTACTGTTCCTTTCTTCAGAGCACCTCATTGCTTTTATTCTCGCTAAAAATCAGCCTGGGAATAAGGAAGAAGAGGGGAATATGACAGAACTTGATTCACCTCACCAAGAGGTTCCACAGGGCTAAGTACCATAAAAGCTGGCTAAGATATCTGAAGCTTTTCAATGAATAAGAGCTACAATGTACAAAGCAAGATACGTCACAGCGAGGAAGCCTGAAAAAGGTCAGCGCAGAAGAGAGAAAGACAAGAATAATATCTTGCAGCATATACTAGTGCTGCTTACAGCCTGATGAGCTCAAGTCATTTGAGGATGCACGAATACAAACATTTACCCCATGTCTGCAAGGGCTTCTTGTAAAGCCCTTTGGAGTATAAAGGAGAAATAGCTGCTGAGAAGTGCCTCTTGACCTAGCTCAGAGCAGACCTCTGGTAGGATGATAAGTAATGATGATTGCTCCTGAGTACATCACTGTACCAAAAGAGCAAAGCAATTATTATTAACTGGATTTGTTATTCATTAAAGGCTACATGAAGGAATTTTCCAAGCACCGGCCTAAATCCACTGTTGATGAAATCGATGTGTTATTTTATTTTATTTTATTTTATTTTATTTTATTTTATTTTTTCCCATGGATTTGGCTAGGAGCATAGAATCATAGAATGGCTTGGGTTGGAAGGGGCCTTTAAGATCATATAGTTCCAATCCCCTGCTATAGGCAGGAACACCTCCCTCTAGACCAGGTTGCTCACAGCCCCATCCAGCCTGGCCTGGAATGCTTCCAGACAGGGGGCATCCACAGCCTCACTGGTGAACCTGTTCCACTTTCTCACTACTCTCACAGGAAAGAATTTCTTCCTGATATCTAGTCGAAGCAAACCCTAAAGCTTTTTTTGGGGGGAGTGGGGGAAATAAAAATAAAAAAATAAACAACCACAAAACCCATCCAAAAGGTATGTTTTACCTTGCTGATATTTATTATGATTTATATTTGTAAGACTTTGAAAAAAGTTGATGTTTTAACAGCCTGAGGAGAAAACCAATGGGATCAGAATAAAAGTCTTGATATCAACACTTCTAAGTGGAAATTCCACCTGTGTCTCAAGATGCAGTCTGTTGAATGCTCTACTGAAAACTGTTTAATTTCCAGGAGAGGTTTCAGCTGAGTAACTTTCATCCCAGATCTTATCCATTACCAAGATAAGGGAAGGGCACGGGCAGGTCGTGTGACTGGCCATTTCCAAGTAGAAAGGATGTAGCAGAGCAGAAGACATGGCAACTATTTTGTGATATACTTTTTTTTCCCATTGGTTAATGTTTCATTTTTCTCCTCTTTTATTTCACTTGTGTATTCAGCTATTTTGTTTGCTTTTGGTTTTGTTTTGTCTTTTCATTTCAGCCAATCTTAATGGAAAGCCACCAGGTAACAAAATTTTGGTTGCTTTTGAGTGACATTGCTGATAACAATGATGTTAATTTTCTGAAAAGAAGAAGAAGAAATTATGGGATGGACAATTTTTTTAAGGCTCTCAAAAAACCTGGTTAATTCACTTGCTGAAATATATTGAGGATCAAATAGTCCTCTTAAGATTTAATACAAATCACAGAGCAAACCGTGTGCTGCCTTTGTCACGGCTGCCTTTGCAGCCATGAGCAGGGATGTTCTTTGCTCTTTTATTTGCTTTTTCTCATGAAGAGATGACTGACACAAACCCTGCCACGTTTGTTCAGAGGGTGTTGAGTCACTGGCACAGGTTGCACAGAAAGCTGTGGGTGCCCCATCCCTTGAGGTACACACAGCCCTGGGGTGGGCCCTGGGCAGCCTGAGCTGGTGGGGGGCAACCAGCCCATGGCAGGGGGCTGGGGCTGGATGGCTGTGAGGGCCCTTCCAGCCCAAGCCATTCTACAATTCTATGATCACAGCGAGTCAGGCCAGCTGAGTAAGTTTAGGCTGGCAGATGCTATTCAGTGTGGATCCTAAAGAAAATCTTCACAGTGGAATAGCTGCAGAAATGAATTGCAATGGCTGCCATCTGGCCACGGCAGTCCACGAGTGTACTCCAGCATTTGAGTGGATAGGATGGGATAAGAATGACTATTATTTTCCTTGGTTCCTGCAGATGCCTTGGGCAGAGTTCCAGTTCTCACGTTGTGCACTCCAGCTGCCATCACGGCTGTGGTGCAACATCTGTAGAACCATCAGCCACAAGGAATTGCAAGCATTCCCTGAAATGAGGAGCATTATGAGGAAAATCAGCACTAGAAAATATTCAGCACACAATAACTGTACGTACTTTATGTGGATATTAAGGAGGTTGCTTGTGGCAGCAGGCTGTGACAATGGAGGTGACCAGTCTCTTTGTCATTGCTGGGGATAAAAGAGTAAGAATCCAAGGAAAGAAGAACTTTCTAGCTGGGAAAATGTCTGAGGGTAAAAGTTTCGAAATTCACCAGCACATCACTGGCATTCTATAGGGCTACCATAAGTTAGTTCAAGCACATTGTCTTGATTTTATTTCCAGTGAAAAACTTCATGGAAAGATGTTTGTGAAATGGCGATGGCTGACTCTTCTACACAGATGAAATACAGCTGGAGCCTGTTTTAGGGGCAATGAGCTGAGAAATGCTCACCCTTAAGGAGTGACACTGAATTATTTCCACTTCGTCACGGCTGTCATAGATGTTGTCTTCCAGTTTCATTTCCCTTTAAGACACTCACCATTAGCATACATTACAAATGCTACTCAGATAAATCTCTTGCCATCTTCTGTATAAGTCAGATAGTAAAATCCTTGCTTTTTTTTTTCCCATGTTTAGACACATCCATGTTCCTTAAATATATTTTAGCTCTTTACTGCTCAATAACACTCCAACGTTTTAATCTCCAAGAGAAACATCTGTTCTATCAGATAAAGCAAATAGAGAAAGCACTGAAAATGGAAGTCAGTGGATTTGTCCTGCATGGAAAGTGGAGAGGGTGAGCCAGCAGTCCTTCACAATTCCTAACTCTACTGTAAAATCTGAATTCTCATTTCACATCTCACTTCCAATGCTCTGTTTTTGGAACTGTCCTCAGACACAGAAACTGTACTGGCAGAAAAATGGAGAAGACAGGATCATCTTCTTAATTTCAAAATTGTATAATCAGCTGAAAAGCAAAACAGACAAGCAAAATATAAGGATTGATGTTAGAGTTCTCTATCACAAATTTACCTTGTGCCTTCTGCAGAGTCTCTTTCCCCTAAAACAGTCCAGCTCTCTGCATGCTGTCCTCTTTCTGCTAACTCCTGCAGGCACACAGGATGGGAATTTGCTTTACCTTCAGCAATTTGCTTTCCTTCATCTGGAAGCCAGAAGAGTCCTGAGGTGGGAGCATGGGAGCAGAATCATAGGAGTGCTGCATATTCAGAAAATCTTGCCCTTGAGACTTTTTTCCCCCGTGACCATGATTTCTCTGCTCTGACAATATCATAATAAAGCCTGGCTGTTGGCTGCCACCAGTGATACCAGACCAGTTAGGAGCTAGCAACTCCGTCTGGTGGTTGTTCTGCTGTCATTTGGGGCTACCTACTTGGCCATCTTGTGTTGGACCTCTGTGAGGTTGATCACCTACTGCTGAAATCCCCAGATGTATTGTTTAAGCTGGCTTTCCACCTACATTTCAGTCACTTGAGATATCCTGTGGGGTTGAAGCCAGGATGACTAACGGATGTTTGTGCATCCTGTCTCCCCTTTGACACAGCGGTGATCAAACCAGCTCTGCCCTCAGAAGACATCGCCTGAGGCTTGTACAGCCTGTGGACATCAGACCTGGTTTGCAAGCAGGGTGACCGTAGCTCCTTGGTGTGAGTAGGGCTGAGTCACATTCCCCTACCTCCACTGTACAGGGACAAGAAGCTGAACCCACACAAAGGGAAACGTTCTGGAGATGCAGAGTGGAACATTACATGAAAAACACGGGGAAAATGTGGTGATTTTATGCTCAGCCCAACCATAGTTGGCTTTCTTCTGGCCAGGAGCATGAGGCAGACAAAGCTGCCTCTTGAACACTGAAGTTCAGCTTTATATTTGGGTGCAAATATAGCTAGCCATAGTGAGATGACTGGTAGGGAAACAGTCTCTCCTTTCAGCTTTCACCAGAGAAGGCCAGATTACCAAAGTCATTCTTACTGGGCTTCTCCTTTTCCCTCTCCCTGTTCTTCCTGCTTTTCTATTAGCTATCTGCTATTTCAAGACCTTGTATGTAGGCTTGCTTTTGAGTATTGCTCTTCATTACTGTTATTATTGTGATACAATGCTATAGACACAGTCCTTATCCAGGCACAAAGTCTGCTTACATACACTGCTTCAACAGCTTCTCATTTCTAGAGCTTATTTGAGTACTTGGGAGCTGAATGATTTGTGGGGTTTCTGAAGGAAACACGACCATAAACCCAGGATGACACCAGCCTTTTCTGTACTTTGCACAAGCTTTGCAGAATCAGGAGAAATTATATATAGTCCTGGGCACTGCTCATTTTGGTTTGGATCCACCCCCTCTAGTGTGCCCCTGCAATGAGGTTCGGTGGTTTAAGCATAGTTTAGGAACCAGAGATGCCTGATCCCAGCTGTGCTAGCCCTTGTGTGGCCCTGGTTGTAGCCATGGACCTCCATGTGTCAGCCTCCTCAGCTGAAAAGTGGAGCTGTAGCTCCTGCTCACCTCCATGTAGGTGTTGGAAAGGACGACTAGTTTACATTTGTGAGGGGCTTCTGGTATGCAGAGTACTTTACAAGTGCTGAGTACAGTTAGGATGATTAGAACCTTCTATAGAGACCATGTATGAGGATCATAGAATCATGGAATCATTAAGGTTGGAAAGACCAATGAGATTCTCTAGTTCAACTACCAACCTATCCCTGTGACCACACTAGGCCGTGGCCCTCAGTGCCACATCCACCCTTCATGGACAGTGACTCCCCCACCTCCCTGCACAGCCTGTTCCAGTGCATCACTGCTCTTTCTGAGAAGAAATGTTTCCTAATATCCAACCTGAACCTCTCCTGGTGCAACCTAAGGCTGTTGCCCCTCTTCCTATCACTGCTATCTGGGAGAAGAGTCCAACTCACACATCTCTACATCTTACTTTCAGGTAGTTGTAGAGAGCTACAAGGTCTCCCCTGAGCCTCCTCTTCTTGAGACTGAACAACCCCAGTTCCCTCACCAACTCTATATAAGATTTGTGCCCCAGACTCTTCAGAGTTTCATTGCCCTTTTCTGGACATATAAAGATGTTTATTGGGGAAAGAAACAAAGGTAAGGAAAGCCAACTGAGTTCTCCTGGAGATGAATGACAGTCAGCACATCCAGGCAGATTGTTGGGTTCAGCCCAAGGGTACAGCCCTGGTCTTTTCATTGCAGTAGGCTTATTGATGGTGTTGTTCCTAGAGCAGCTAAGCAAAACCATAGCCCAGTATCTGCTGGATGTGCAGCAGAAGGCAATCAACCTCTGCTCCAAAAAGAGAGGCAGATAAGGGAAGGAGAACTGGCCTGGGAGGCATCCAGGCGTACCTGGAAGAGCACCCCATGCCCATGGTGAGGCAGCAGACTCGGATTTCATGGAGGCTATAATTTTGCTTGCTGCTGCTGCGAGATCCCAATAACTGAGCCGAGAAGGGATTTTTTACGCCGTCCGAAGCATTCCTGATCCCCCTCCGCATCTAGTGAAAACTTAATAGCGTGAGAAAATGCCTTCCTGTAGCGTCTTGTAAACCACATGGAGAGCAGCAACAGATGGAGGGGCGAGAGCGAGGGGCTCCGCGAAGATGTTGCCGGTCCTCAGAATTCCCAGTGAGGGATGGAAGCACTAAGAAATGGCAATTTTGTAGGGTGAAGCTTTCAGTCAACGAGAGTGAGAAATTGCAGAGGGTGCTAAATGGGTGCTCCGAGGAATGTACGTAAAGGGAGAGGGAGAGCTGCTCTCCCATTGCTGTTCCCTCGTACAGATGGTAGCAGTTAAGATTCCTGCAGGAGCCAGGAGTTGCAAAGTTAGCACATCTGAAAAGTTTCCCGATGCCTGAAGTCAGGCCGTGGCAAACAATGCTTGCTGGGCTGAGCCCCACTCGGGTGCTTTTATTGCACTTGGACTGATTTCAAGCTCTGCTCCGTGATTAATTGTGCTTTTAAAAATAAAGTTCAAAACACTTCCCAGGAAGTCTGGGAAAGGCAGAGAGCTTCGGTAGCACCAGGAGCTCAGTGCTCAGTGCAGTTTTCATTAACTGCAGCTTGCATTAGCTGCAGCTTCACTTGAGATAGGATCTTTCAACTCCATTTCATCATGGAGAGACCAGAGTCAGAACTCAAAAAGGGAGGACAGGACAGTGGGCATTTTCCATCTGCATACTAGGATGGAAGTATATGTTTAGTATAGAGGAGGTGCTGGTTCTAGTGACGGAGGAGCACAGATTACATTGCCTGAGAAAAGCTGGTATGGAGTGACCAGAGACTTGGAAACCAGGATCATGGTTGTTCATGAGCACATAACAAAAGAGCCTGTGAAGGGTGGCTGCACCTAATCCACCACCCTTCTGGGGCGTCTGCATGAGACAGCATGGATTAGAACTCACATATCCATAGAAACACACTACTGCAAGGATTGCACAGGGCTGCACTGGCACCCAGAGGGGCTGCAGGAGCTAATGAGGATCCTGGCTGGCAACACTCTGAGCAAGCATCTTCTTCCCTGCAAAAGACAGAGGTCGTTTTTTGCACACACACACACACACACACAAAGATCAGGATAAACAACAGAAGATGTGCTAAACCAATGGAAAATACCACAGGAAGGCAGAAGGCTGCAGGCACCCTGTGCTTGTCTTGGCAATGTCCACACCAGGACAGACCAGCAAATACAGCTCCCCGGGTGGTTTGTAAAGATATAACACAAAAAACCCATGGGGCTCTGTTGCCACCAAGCATTCCTGTACATGTCACTATGATGTGCAAATGGTATTCCAGATGCCTGAGAGCTAGACAGTAGATTTGTTATCCTGTGGGCTTGTGGCAGGCTCTAGGCATCCTTGGGCTTCTGGCATTTTCCTCCTCTATTTGGTACGTCTGAAATAACACTCAGATTGGTAACAGTTGAAGCAGGCACTCTTACACTTCTGGTTGATTTTACAGAGCACTGTTCCATCTCTTCCCATCCCCTCTCTTCCTTCACTATACTTTGCATTGTGTCTCACTTTAGGACCTGGTTCTGCAAATAACCAGAATACATGAAAAAATACCCAGTTTGCTTAACATTAAA